CAGACTGCCGCGCCTTATCTGGCGGTTTGCCATTGATGCGTATAATCCGCCGGCATTGGGAAACCCACAGCGAGTTCTGCAGGGCCGGGCCAGAACTCAGCAGCGGCCCAACTGGGCCTGGCCACTTGGTCCCCTGGCGCACAGAAGGTGAGATCGCCGGCCTCACCTTGCTGTCTGTCCCATGGGAAACGTGTTTATTAACGCGGCGCTCTGGGCTGGCACCACTGACATCGAAGGAGGGTTATTGCATTGTGGGTTTGATCTCCACCTTGCAAGCCCCATGGCTACCGCTTCCAGCAGCCTGCATTACCCAACCCTAGTCGTATTCCACACCGCATGTCTGAGAGCCGATTTGTTGGCCTTTGAATCAGCGACACCTTTCCACTTCTTCACCCTCGATTTCCTTTTCTGTAATATCTTGCCACCGAGAGGGCCGGCTGGTGCAGGCTAGTGCCAGACTGCCACTGGCGGTGGGACCCCTGACTCATGAACGACCGAGATCTACGACGGTCCGATCCGATCCGATCAAGTGCTACATGCTACGGATCACGGAAAGAGACACGCGCTGCAGCAGCGGTCTGCAGCCGGGGGCTTTGGGAAGCGTCGTGCATCGCGGGTATGCATCAGTCCATGGGCGCGCCCTCGCTGTATTGATGTCCGAATAGGCACACGGGACTGCAGGCGGAGTCGAAAGGGCAAAGGGGCGACAATTTAGGAAATGAAGCCTTGGCCTACTTTCCTTTCTGAACATGACTTAACGAAACCATCTCCCAGTTTTGTAATGTTGTCGAAGAGGGAAGTGCTCGTGAGAACCAAGGACACACCTAATCTGTTGCCCAGATCCCAGACATTGTTTTGAATTCCATCATATCCGGCATTAGCTATCCGGGCCGTTATCCACCCTACGGCCGTGAACGCACCTGAGGACGCTTCACTCTGGACGGCTCCGATCACCCCACTCTCACGGAAAGCCATGGCTCCAAGAATCCCGTTCCCTTGCCCGGCAGTGCGAGACCTGAGCCGAGTCCTCCCTCGGGACGAGACCCAACCCAGCTCAACCGCATCAGGACTCATCATCCTCGGCGCACTCCTGGGACTGCTCGTAGCAGCCATCATCATCTGGTGGGCGTGCTGCTGCGGACGGGGACGATGGGACAGTGATGTGCAGAAGACCAAGCACGGAGCTCGACTCGGTGCCAAGCCACGCATGGAGGTCCGGGTCGTGCGGACACCGATACCGCGGCCGCGGACCGGACACTCACACTCGGCTCCGGCAAGCGAGGACCACAGGAGGAGGAGATCCGCGAGCGAGCCAACGGAGAGCGAGTCCTCCGAGACGACTGGGACTGAGACAGCGTCTGAATCGGAGCCCGGAACGCCGTTTACGGCCACGTTCGGACCCATCCCCTTCCCAGCACATCTAGGTGTCAATCCCGCGCAGCCGCCGCAGCCTGGGGTTTACATGCCAGAGCAGCCAGCAGCCTTCACCATGCCCCAAGTGGGAGGAGGAGGAGGAATAGCAGTTGATACCAACACCGGACCATTCACGCCCACCTTCGGGCCAACTCCGTACAATAACACGGTGCCTTTCGGGGCTGGCACTGATACCGCCCCTCAGTTCAACAACATCAACATCGCGCAGCCACCACTGGCACGGACTCACAACGCACACACGTACCAAACCAACGATGCTCTGCGGTACCTCGACCGCGACCAATCAGCGCCAGGGAACGGAAATGGAAGAGGCGGACCAACAATAACATCAGGATTTCAAGGACTTCAGGGACTTGGGAGCGATGGTCCGATCGAAACGCCGCTTGGCAGGCAGGCGACGACCAGCCTTCCGCTGAATGCTCAGATTCAAATTCCTGCTCCTGCTACTGCACATCTGCATGGTCATGGCGTGGAGCAGCAGCAGAAGCAGCAGCACGGTGTTGGGAGATATCCTGGGAGTCAGTACGGGACGCTGGGTGGGTGGACATCTTTCTCTCCGGTGTGATTGTGACACCATTACGTTTAACAAAAAGGGCGGGGGAGTTGTGCCAATTTGGGGGGGGGGGGGGATTCGAACATTGACGCTGCTGAAGAATTAATCAAGCCCGAGGCATGGAGGGTCCAACATATATAGGCGTCCGGTCAGATTCAGGACGATAGCACGACTGGGGCCGCATGAAGAGAGAGAAACGGCACAGGGATTGATGGACATAGAGTGGGATGCACGTTGCTAGCCCGGGGTTCACTAATGCCTCAGTAATGTAGGAGTGCTGGCGGCCAGTTTGACGAGAGAGACGAACACGAGATTGAAAAGATTGACAGAGGGGAAGTCCTCAACTCCCAGGCGTAGCCTTCAGTTGCTCTCCACGCAATTCCCCAACACATTAGTGAAACCGAGCCCCTATTCTTTCTGGGCCTCTGCCCCATGACCCCTGGGCCCAAATCTTGTCATCGTGTCAAAATGTCTGCCCAAAGATGCGTTTAAGGCATATCTGCGTGTGGCCGATCCCGACTGCTGGATTGGCTCGACACAAAGACCTCCCCTTTCCCCAAGAATTGGTCTAATACAACCGATAGCCCAGTCCGCTCTCCAGCTCCAAACCTTGCACCCCATCCTCCAAACCCTTCAACCCATCCAACCGCCAAACCGCGTCCCTCGCATCACAATCATGCACCAGCGGATACCGACCCCGGCGATCCACCTCCACCGGCTCGGGCGACGCAGCCGGCGTCGCAGGCAACCTGTCGGTCGCGATGCCCAACGCATTCTGAGTCGGTGGAGCCGCCTTGCGGCTTGTTTCCTCCCATGGTCCCAAAGTATGCGCCTGATAGATCAGGCGCATACCGTCGCGTACCGCTTCCACGAGGGCGGCGAAGCTAATGCCGGGGAAGGGCTGCTTACCCTTTGGGGGTGGTGACGGTGGCCAGACGACAGGGAGGACGCGCTGTTTGTGCAGGGCCTTGATCAGCTCGCCGAGGAGGAGGGCGTCACAGTTGTGGATGGTGCAGGGGACGCTCTCGGAGGTGAGGTCGTCGAGGGTTTGGCGGAGGAGAGGGAGAGCCTGGGCGAGGAGGGTTTGCCGCTGTTCGTCAATGTGTTCTACATGGTAGGCGGATGGTCAATTTTTACTCTACTCCGCAGCCAAAAACCAGCAAAGAGAAAAGAAAGGGCTATAGTTACTGATAATCTTTTCTCTAATGGGAAGACCGAGGGTTTGAATGGGGCCCGGGCTTTGCGCGGCCGCCAGCTTGGTCACGGCCTTGAAGATGGCTGGGTGACGGAAGACGTGGCTGACATAGATCCAGAGAACGAGATCGCGGTTGTATGCATTCGGGATCGTGTCCTCAAGCTTGGAGATCCACCGCTCGGCGTACACCTCCACCGCGTCAAGCAGATGGAAGCGATCCACGAACAGGGCGACCTGCGCCAGCGTCTGGAGGTCTACAGACTTGGGCACCTTGGAGCCTCGGCCGTGGATGGCGTTCATGACGATGCATACGGCCTGGGGGTCGAATCCCTTAGCTAGTCTGAGGTGCACCCGGCCATCCGGCTGCCGCGCAGCTTTGGAACTGCTGGACTGCAGCTTGTTCCTGAATGCTGGGGATGCGAGTTCCAGGTGTCTCGAGGAAACCTTGATGCGCAGACCTGGTCGAGAGGCGGGCGCTGCCGCCGCGGTTCCTGGCTTATGCCCGCGGTTGGCTCTATCGACCTGATGCCGCTCATCCCATGGTGCGAACGCGTGGCTGGGTGGCGGCACGATAAGCAGTACGTCGGCGTCTGGGTCGACCTCGTAGAGGGGAGCCAGGTTCAGAAACGGCGAGTCGAGTATAGCAACTTCGACTGAGTCCATAGCGGGCCGCAGTGGGTTCCTTCTGGTGGTACAAGGATACAAGAACTGACAGTGAGATTCAAGCCCAATACTATGAATTGAGGATCCCTACAGCAAAATCTGCGACAGTAAGGACTCAAGGAGCTGAGGATTCTTAATCTTCAAAAACAACTGTTTTATGCGCGGCGCGAGACTGGCGTGCGGGGCATGATCAATCACGCAATTGGCCGTGTTGACAAAGCCGAGTTCAGCTCTTGGTGAATTGAAGGCTTGTCCAATAAGGCTCAGCGGCCCCCAAATCGTCTCGGCGAAGACTGAAGTACCTCTACCATCTGAACGATTGCGGAAGGCAGGCAAGTCCAGGAATGTTAGTCAGGGGAATATCTTGGGACGTCAATGACTATACAAGATGCCACATAGCTGAGAAGACACTTCCTCCGCAACCGAGGACGCCGTTTACTCGCGGTGTCGGGTCACCTTAATGTTGGACAAACTTGGGGCAAGGGTTAGGGTACACCAACCTGCAAACACTCTCCAAACCGCCGCAAAAGTGACCGTCCACACCCTCCCCGGGCATGTTCATCTATACTAGTACCCTCCGACTTCCTTTGCGAAGCAAAACTCAATGCGATCATGCTGGGACTCGAACCCAGAACCTTTACCAGCTAGAAATGAATGGAGACCGGAAAGTAACGCGCTACCATTGCGCCACACGACCGTTGATTGGGTCATTTCGACGTAGAGACGGGATAGTTATATCACGTCCTGCAAGAGATGTCCGTTTGGAGCGCTCACGACGCCGTACTTCGTTCTCCCTTAAGTAAGGTAGGTAGTCAAGAGCTTAAAGGTCTATAAGTATATAATCCCAGCTTCTGCTCAACTAACTACACGTTATAGTATATCCAAGAAACAACTGGGTGTGTGACCATTGGATAGGTAAAAAGGCGTCTGATTGCTTGCGAGGGCATACAAAGCGGTAAAACAGTAGTCAGTCAATCGATCCCAGTCAGTTCCTTTGGTCAGGCCAGGTGCCACATTCATCTATTCAATCTTGCACGCACCTCATCCTCTTGATCCGTTTATGTTCTCACCGTTGGTTTTTCTAAAAGAGGAAGGGGAGAGTAAGCCTGGTAGAATATGAATGGAGCATCGTGTCCCTCTTCAGCCAAAGCGGTAGCCCGTATAGCTCAGTGGTAGAGCGTTCCGCTCGTATTTCGACACGGAAAGGTCGGCGGTTCGATCCCGCCTGGGGGCATACTTTTGGAGTTCTTAGGCGGTGTAATTAGTTTTGACTATTGAGAACTTTCAATAACTAGGCGAGATACCTTTTTGATTTATCATCTGTTCTAAAGACCATAGATCGTCTTTTGGCGAAGATTCCAGCTTTGGTGGAGGGTGAAATAAAAGCGAGACATTGAACTCTTAAGACAGTCTGGGCCTAACTATGATCCCCGGAAGATATCAATTGTATACGGAGCCTAGATGTTACACTTGGTTGGTGATGCCCTGCCATGGTGGAGTCAATTGACAGGATGGATGGATGGATGGATTTATTTCGCCCGGAGGCACGGAGCCTAAAGGGCCT